TGGGTATAGTAAGGTAGCTCTCTCAATCACTTTCCTAAGATATTTTCTTTGATGAGCGGCAACTAACATGACTTTTCTTATGTTTCGTCTTCAATATTATTCCTCAAATGCATCCATCCATGACTAGCCACATTCTCACCCTTAAAGTTACAAGTTTGAGCTTATAGAAATCAAACTATCAATTAATCTTTAAGGGTGAGACTCTTAACCTTTAGAGCTTTAATGTTGAGGTTAAATATATTAGTCTTATGACTTTGGATTGAGTTTTGGTTGATTTGAACTTAATGAACTAGAAATAAGATGTTGATTCACGTGTTTACATGTGAGTTTTAAACATAAAAGTTTGCATATTATATGTTTGTTGAAATGAACAGGAATGAGTTTCTAAGCCAGCTTTAAATTTTAAGTTTTTCTAAATCTTTTCTATATTATTTTGTCTCAGATAGGGGTGTCAATTGGGCCGGGCCCAGCCCGCTACAGTAGTAAATTCGACACGGCCCGGCCCTGTACTGTTATGGGCCGGGCCGGCACGGCACACCAAAAGGGCCTGGGCTGGGCCTCATGTTTGAGGCCCGCAGCCCAGGCACGGCCCAGGCATGCCTAAGGCCCAGGCCCGCCAAGGCCCAAACACGCGAAGGGCCAGGCCCGCGACATTAAATTTTAATGAGGTTTGAGGCATTTTAGGGCCAATTGGCCGACCTATGTCGTCTGGTCAACCAATCATTTTCTTATAATTATTCATATTAATTCAATAAAATCACACATTTTTGGGGCATATGATATATTACTTTTTGTTTTGTCATCAAATTTGAAATAAAAAAAAATCCTAAAAATATTGCTAATCATAAGTGAAACTCAAGTGCATTAAGAAAATTAGGTTAAGATTGAGTTTAGACATAACAGAATCTTCTAGAAGGACTTAGGTTTTGTAATTTACTTATCCTAGAATACTGCACTCTTTTTTTCTTCGCTAAGGTTTTGTCCTGATTTCTCCACGAGGTTTACTTGACAAGGTTTTTAACGAGTTAATCATTTATGTGTACTTATTTGTATTATCTCAATTTAATAAAATCACATCTTTTGGGGACATATGATATATTTTCTTTTTTTAATTAAATATTGAAAAAAAAAATTAAAAGGGCTTGGGCCGGCCCGTGAAGGGCCTGGGCCCAGGCCCGGCCCTGGCCCTTATGGACTAGGGCCAAGGGCCAGTGCTGGGCCTGAGGGTTTCTCCTCAGGCCCGGCCCTAGCACGACCCTGCACTGTGCAGGGCCGTGCCAGGCACGGCCCAGACCCGCCATCGGCCTGGGGTTAGAAGGGCCGTGCCGGCCCGGCACAGCCCTTTTGACATCTCTAGTCTCAGATATTATTTTTTCTTTCAAATAGACATCCTAAACTTTAAGTGGGTTCAAAAATTACATAAAAAGGAATTTTCTAGAATTAATTATGATTTTTACAAATTCATGCAAAAAGCTGTCAAATTCCCGAGGGAAATTTTTGTTTGGATTTCGGACTGATTTTGATGATTCTAATGAATCTGAAACCTAGTATATAATAGCTCTAAAGAAAGCCCCATGGGTCTACTTTGATTTGGCAGTAGTTTTGTAATTTTTGGAATCTCTTACATTTTGTTATAAATTTTCTCGTAACAGAGGTCGAATCTGTCCAAATGACAGAGTTTGTGCTAAAAGACCAACTTTTGTAATTTTGTTAGACTTGAGACTTGGGACAAGTTTTGTGAGATTTTACAACTTGATATAGTCAAGATGCTTATGCAATGATGATGGTCTTTAGAAAAGTTAATTGTTAGGTAGATTTATAATGGCAGATGATTAAAAATGATATGTACATTATGATTTTGTGTGTTGAATGTTATATTTTCGTTTTACTATGTTGGTTTGATTTAGATTTATGACCAACCTAAATGTAAGATGTTTTGTGATGGGATTAAAGCCAATAATTATTAATAAATAGTTCCTAATTTACCTAGTTACATGAATCTATCAATTTCTTAAACTTCTTATTATAAGTTGAGCTTAGAGATTGTTTATTAAATAGCCTCTTTAAGAAGTTGAATCCAACACCGCTCTTTAAAAATTCTAATCCAAATAATGGAAGTCCAATAGTTGACTTTCACCATTTATCTAAACTCGCGAGAACGAAAATATTTCATAGACCGTAATCAATCCATAAACCCAATACAAATGATTTTAGACAAGTGTGTGCCTAAAAAAGAATCCAACACCGCTCTTTAAAAATTCTAATCCAAATAATGGAAGTCCAACAGTTGACTTTCACCATTTATCTAAACTCGCGAGAACGAAAATATTTCATACACCGTAATCAATCCATAAACCCAATACAAATGATTTTAGAAAAGTGTGTGCCTCAAAAGAAAAGGCTCAAAATTAACTATGGTGAATGTGATAACAAGATCACGCACATCGTAGAATCGAGGATCCCAATCCTTCTTTTGTTCAAGAGTAGGTTTCTTCAAGAAAGGTAAGTACAAGTACTCACCTATAACACAAATATAAAGTATATCTATAATGATGTGTAAAAATATACTATAAAAATTCTTTATGATGTTATGTACTTGTTTATGCCTATCTATGTGATTCGATTATGTCACTTAACTTTCAAGTTCATTTAATGTGACATGCTTTCTTATCATGATTTCAATACAATGCATAAATAAAAAGATTTTTATAAGCGTCGTACCGAGACCAAGGTCTCTCCATGTTCATGTTATGTACTGAGACCGAGGTCTCTTCATGTTCATGTTATGTTATGATACCACGGGCTGAGTTGGTTAGGGTCGCTCTCCTCCAGTCCCCCATTGGTTACGTGCAAGGTACGTACGCGGGCCAAAATTTATGGTTTTCAAGACAAGATTTACATGTTTTATAAAGCATCTATGTATGAAACTATCTATGTTATTTTATGTCAGTTATTAGTTTGTACTTGATGAGCGTTAGCTCACTATATTGGCTTATATTGTAGATCTAAGTAAACGACCATTAATCCAAGAGTAGGACATGAATGAACGGTCCAGCACAATGGCGCATGTGGTACACGGGTGATGCGTCGAGCTGTTGAATGTTTCTATACAAACTATTTCTGAAAGTTTATTTTGAGATTACGTTTATTATTTTGAGATTGTAATAGTTAATGAATTTACTAAACAGCTAAAGACACAACAAAATCAGCATGAACTTATCTAATTAAGTATCCAGTAATTATCTAAGGAATTAAGTAAGTTGGAAAATTGGTCTAAAAAGCCCAATTATGGAATTACAAGTTTTAATTTCCTTTATTTCTATTTTAAAGAGTTTTCTTGAAAATATCATTTTAAACAAGATATATCTATAGTAGTAAATGTTTAAGAGACTTTATAAAAAGAAAATGGTCTATTTAAAATGCTTATATAATTTTATGTTTTCCTCAAGTTTTGCAACAAGTTTTTTTTCAAGTTTAATGAGAACCTCTCTTGTTTGTTAAAACCGATCAAGTTAACAAAAAAAAAGGAGATGAATCCTTCATCAAAAGAGTTAAAGTTCCAAGATAGGAACTATCAATTAAAGGTTCTAACAACAAAAGATTATCATGATGCAAGATGTTCTATTTTGAAAAGTATTTTTAATTTTTATTTTGATGTTCAAATTTTTAACTATGTAATTTAACCTTAATGCTTTTAAAAAAAAAAAGAAATTTATTGCAAAATTTCTCTTAATACATTCTTTTAAGTATATATATATATATTTCATGTTTACATTCTGAAAATCAAGTAATAACGCATTGCCACGTCGGGTCGTTACATTAACTAATTCCAGTTGGTTTTTGATACTTTTGTTTTCTTTCTACTTTTTTGCCCTTTTGTTTTTTAATCACTAATTTTCTGATCCAATATACTGCTATCAATAAGAGCAATCATAACTATTCAGACGGCCCAATTATTGAAGGAATTGTGTTTTAAGGTAATTCATTTTAGAGATAATTATACTACATGGAAAAATTTCATACTTTGAACTGGAATTTTGCAAAATTTTCAAAATATTATAAGAATAGCAAAAATGATATAGTAATTTTTATAATACATGTTTAGAGAGCCCTTCAGGCCTCAAGCCCACTGTTATGTTCCACAATGCAGCAGAAACATTGCAAGAAGAGTAAGACTGGGTCTCCAAAATGAATCATTTTCCTCCGTAATTTCTTTAAACATCGACATATTTCATCAAAACGACAACAATGTCAATATGTTTCTAGAACCCAGAAACGACAACAATACTAATATACGACAATAGACTCAACAAACATCATTAGAAAAAACAGGATAACAACTCCAACAACGGCAGCAATGCAACAAAGACGACGCGGAGCGCAAAAACGACGCGTAGAAACAACATTATTAGGGAAATCAACAAATAACCAATAAAGGACAAATAATAGGACACAGAAGACAGCAACTGAAGTATGACAACGACATAGGAGCAAAAATAACCTAAAGACGTTATAATAAAAAGACAAGCTCCAAAATAGACAAATAATTTCAGCCAACAATAATGTATCAACCCCAAAATGACGGTAAATAGTGAGAATCATGATAACAATTTCGAAAAAAGACCATAATAATAGAAAAAATCTAAAAAGTTAAAAATGACCGTTGACAAGTTTTGTTGTCTTTAAAATATTGTCACGCTTCTGTAGAAGGGCTTTCATAGCTCAGTTGGTTAGAGCACCCGTTTAGTAAGCGGGAGGTCTTGAGTTCGACTCTCAATGAAAGCAATATTCATCTTTTTATATTATTATTAATTATATTATATATAAATATATATATATATATATTTTTTTTTCACATATGGATGACAAGTGTATAACCTCCTCTTGGCTCTTATATTAGACATAGTTTTTACATATCTTGGGAATGCAAACAATATCTACAAAAATCACAACCTTTCTCTCAACTAAAGGATAGAAAAATAGTTCAGAAATTAATTCCATCATGAATTTCCGAAGGTTTTGTCCATGTAATGTACCCAGTCATAGCAGTCGTCAAATTCTTTGTAGAAATCATACTGCCAAATGGGAGAATTAGTACTTGGTCCTATAAGTTGATCATCAGGAGGAGGATAAAAAAAGTCTCCCTGTTGCGACCACAAACTTTGAAGCTCTTCAATGAATGTTTCATGAGATGATGTCTTATCAATATTAATGCCCTCATTAACAATTTTCTGGTCTTTACCAATCTCAAAATTTGCAGGACCAGTTGACGAGGTAATTGGTTGTTGTGGCGATACAACGGTATTCTTCGAATCGTCTATTTTTGATATTGATTTTGCAGGCTCGGGAGATGCAAGAACATCAGATTCAGAAAGATTCTTCCAAGAGGCTTCATCACCAGCCTCTTGCAGTTCTGGTATAACAGAAGTACTGCTTGTAGAATCGGCCTTCAAGCGCTTTTTCAAGTGCGTGTGCCAGTAATTTTTCACCTCGTTGTCTGTTCTTCCGGACGGAAGTTTTGCTGCTATGGCAGACCATCTAAAATTTAATAAAATTTATAGCAATGTCAATTTATCAATTCACCACCTCTACATACTTAAACTTACACCCCAGCACCATAAAATAATTTAACAAATTTATATCCTCGTCAAACTAGTTAACTCGCCTTTCCTGACGCCCATTTAGACGTCGCCTTTTCAGACTAGGACCATACACGTCGCTTTTCAGGTATGTCTGAGATCTTTTTGTAGCAGCGCGTTCATCAATGAGCGACATTAAAGCCACTATGGAGCTTGCCGTCTTGTGAGTTTATATGAAAATTTTAGAGAGTAGTAGCTGCGAGTCCTAAAGGTATTTTTTATTTGTTTATGTATTTGCAATAGCTATATATATACATGTAATATTCGTAGTTACAGATGGCTAGATCCATTATGTTCGTGAAGAAATTGAAAGAGCATTTCAGATTAATTGACAAAAAAATTAGATTTGAGAGAGATCCCTTATCCTCTACTCTAACATCCACATGATTAAATTGATCGATCCATGTGAAAAATATACGACTAATGTATAACAAAAACATTTATGAAACACGGTATTATCAAAACACGAACATAACTCGAGTTGAGATTTCAACTAGGGCAAAAGAACAGTTAGATAGTTTTTTCCTTGTTTACCTTTATCATTTTATCCAGGCCAAAATTAAGTAACAGCCTAAGCTAATTAAAGACACGTATAGCTGATATGATCAGCGTAACATATATATATATATATATATATATATATATATATAGTAAAAGCATGTCGAACTTTCTGCTGAAACATGTATTTAGTGCTAACCGGTTTCCTAGTGTCTCATGCAACGTGATTATGGTATCCTCCTCTTCCTTGCTAAAGTTTCCACGCTTAATGTCAGGCCTCAAGTAATTCACCCAACGAAGTCTGCAACTTTTCCCAGTTCTTGCCAAACCTGAAAAATTTAAGTCAAAAGATATATATATTATTAGAGGATGTACTGTCAGATCATCTAATAAGTTCGATAACAATACGAATTTAAAACCTTTTTATTATAGTGTTTTCTCTTATTAAAATTGAAATTTTTATTCAAACTTTCTGTTTGAATCACGGAAGACATATATACCGGCAGCTTTTGACATCTCAGTCCAGTTCCAGATTTTGTATCTCTTGATGTAAGCTGTCAACTTCCGATCTTCTTCGGGACTCCATGCTCCTTTCTTTAGAGGTGTTTTTTCCGTACTGCTCGAAGTCTTCACCATATCTATATGGATATATTAGTATATATTTCAGGTTTAAGCAAATTTCGAGACTCAAATTAATACATATATACCTATATCATGAGGGAAGGTATAAGGTCATCTGACCCTCCCAGAACATTAAATTTAAATGGTCAAACGAGATTTAGTCAGTGGTTATAAGGTCATGTGAGAATAGAAGGAATTTCCTCGCTCTTTCCCCACTTTACTAAAAATGAATTGAAATTCATTTAAAAAAAAAAATGCATGTTGAAAAGGTTGGAATTAATTATATATATATATATATATATATATATATATTGATTTTAATACTAAGCAAACCAATTGTAAGTCAAGTCTGGCCGCTTCCCAACTGTAAATATACATGTACGTAGTTACCACCCAATGGCTTCTGAAAAGGACAATAAATTAAAATAAAATAGCCTGGGTCTGCATACATATCCCGTAATTAGATTTTATACAATTTGAGATTTAGTTTTCAAAACAAATTTTAGAGAATCAGTCCCATCAATGTTTGATTTGAAGTGCTATTTATAAAAGATTTGCTTTTTTCTTTTCTTTTTTGCCTCTAATATATTGAACTATATTTTATAAGTACAAGATACTTTGGTCAGATTATGAGTTAAGATACTTTGGTCAGATTATGAGTTAATATATTTAGGATTTGTTTGTTTCATACATTCAAATTCAAATTATTGATTTTATTACAGTATTTTTCTCTCATAAAAAATTTAAATCTCAAATGTCAGAATCATAATTTGAGTATATTTTACAAACCGGTCCTTACATATTCAAAGTAAGTTCGTGATGTACGAACTAAATCGTTCCCAAAAAAAAAAATTGTAAATACCTGAGTATACAAAAATTAGTACTACTGATGAATGTCCATAATATCATTAAAAAAGGGACAATTAACAAAAATTTAAAATGGATCACGTTTATTTGGGCCAGTTATAAAAATATACCTCCTAGATCATATTTTCTCAATTTATTACTACCCTTTTAGAAACTATAAGGCATCCTTTATATAATTACAAATTTTATTTCAATTTTTATCCCTCCTTTTTTTTTGGACAAAAAAGGACAAACAAAACCCTTAAATAACTTCTAACATTATTTAATTTTAAACAAAAAAACATAAAACCCCAAAACAAATGGTAGCACCTTCAAAAAAAAAAAAAAACACAAAACAAAACAAATGGTAGCGTAGCGTCTGTTAGTCTTGTTGACGCCCCCTGATCTTTGCATGAGTACGTGTCTTTACTTTTCTAGTTACGCTATTTTGTTATGTTTGATTTGTTGTTGGTTGATATTTTTAGATTGAGTGGGAGTTTTTTATTTTATGTTTTTAATTGTTTAAAGTATTTTAATTCAACAACTGTGTAGGATAAAATTAAAAGATGATGTTTTTTTTTTTTAGTTTCTAAAATCTAAAGCGATCAATTTCCAAAGGAAAAAAAAGAAATTAATAAGTATGTATATATGTACTTTTTTTATTAAAAAAAAAGTATATTTACGTACTTGCATGCATTACGTACAACACCCAAAATATGCACGCTCGGATGCAGGTTTGGTAATAGGATGATATATTTAAGTAAAGCAATGTTATTAATTACTCAACCTAATTATGTATATAACACAAATCAGTATTGCCTCCTACTTACATTCACGCTATTAATTATATGGACGGCAAATATGAGCACACATCATATAATATAACTAACCCTAAGAATAACAAATATTATTATGAGGAAGTTGGGTAGAGGACAAAATAATAACTTTATCTCATGAATTAGGGTGGTTGTAAGAGTCATGACAGAGCACGTACTTATCAGAATATGTAAGCGGCAATATTGTTGGAGATGATACGTTTTATAAAATATATAAAAAAAAAGAGGAAGTTAACATGACTTTGAGTCTTTGACTATATGGAACAAAGTAACATTTTTTTTTAAAGTTAATTATAAACAAAGTAACAATTTAATATATATTCCCTAAAAAAGTACCAATAATTCATTTCACGCAAAAACAAGAGCTTC